TCACTTCACAGAGCGACAGTGTGTGTGCTCCCTATTGTTTATGCTGCGTGTGCTGGGGCGTGCACACATGACCACACTATACATGTGGTGATCGGAAAAACTAGTGGGAGTGGGATTCTCTTCCTCTATGTGAGTCCTGGGGATTGAACGCAGATCTTCAGGCTTGGTGGCAGCACCCTCACTCGCTGGGCCATCCCTACTGTTCTTTCTGTGAACCCCCAGATCACAGGCCCCACTGTCTTTGAAGGGAAAGGTGAGTCTGCTGAGGATGCTGGAGACTAATCACAGCCCTCTGGAGGCTCAGACAGGAGGGCTCTCAGGATTTCGAGGCCAGCCTGAGCTACACACTGAGTTCTAGGCCAGCCTGGATGCCAGAGAAAGACCTTCTCTCAAAAGGGGGGTGGGGGCTGAGTAGAATTAGGGCAACTGCCAGGGAGATCTGCTATGGCCTCCTGCACCCTCACCTGACAAAGTCACAGAGCTATCCCCCCCATAGTCAGGGGGAAACTTGGTTTAACTCAGCGCAGTAAGAGCTGCTGGCTCCAGATTGTCATTCTAGGCGGCCTGAGGTCTAGGAGGGTCTGGGTACCAAGGGCCCCATCAAGGAAGGAAGGGACAGCTGAGAGCAGCCAGCATGTGGGTCAGGTTTCCAACCTGAGACTCCTGGCACCAGTCAGGGTGGGGTGGGGTGGGGTTGGGGTGCTGCCGGTGACAGCTGGGAGCTTCATCACCAGCCTCCTAGCCACCTTGCTCTCCACTCCCCCACCCACAGATCTCTCTGGTAAGCCAGGAGCCCGTGCTGTTTGCCCGCTCCATCACAGACAACATCTCCTACGGCCTGCCCACTGTGCCCTTCGAGATGGTCGTGGAGGCCGCACAGAAGGCCAATGCCCATGGCTTCATCATGGAGCTTCAGGACGGGTACAGCACAGGTAGGACAATGCCACTCTGATTTAGGGACAACCATCATTTAATTTTCCTTCCATCAACATGAAATTCACATCACAGGAACATGAGCATGTCAGTTAGCCTCAGTGGCATGTGATATTTGATAAGGCAGAGTGGCACATAGATCTCTGAGTTCAAGGCCTGCCTGGTCTACATAGCAAGTTCCAAGTCAGCCAGGGCCATGTGGTAAGACTCTGTCTGAAAAATGAACAAACAAGGAGCTGGAGAGATGACTTAAAATACATCGCTGCTCTTTGGAGGACCAACCAGGGTTGGATTCTCAGTACCCACACAGTAGCTTACAACTGTCTACAACTCCTGTCCCAGGTGCCTCTGGGGCACCAGGCATGTGGTACATAGGCATACCTGCAGGCAAAACATCCACACAAAGTAACAGTTTCTTAGGTTTTTAAATTATAATCTGTGTGCATTGGTATTTCGCTTGCATGCATGTCTGTGTGAGGGTGTCAGATCTTGGAGTTTCAGACAGCTGTGAGCGGCTATGTGGGTGCTGGGAATTGAACCAGTACTGTCAACCGCTGAGCCATTGCTCCAGCCCCTCTTGTTTGTTTTTTGAGACAGGGTTTCTCTGTATAACAGTCCTGGCTGGCCTTGAACTCACAGAGATCTGTCTGCCCGTTTCCCAGGTGCCGAGATTAAAGGCGTGCTCAGTGGCTCAACTGAGTGTCTGGCTCAGTTTTTATTTTTGTTTTGTTTTTTTCAAAGAAACAAAATTTCCGTTTATCTGGGTATGTTGGTGCAGGGAGATTGCTATAATTCTAAGCTAGCTGGGGAGACCCTGTCTCAACAAGCTGTGTGTGTGTGTGTGTGTGTGTGTGTGTGTGTGTGTGTGTGTGTGTGTGTGTGTAAGTGTAAGGACAGCTTTCAGGAGACATTTCTCTCCTTCCAGTCTCCTTTGGGACTCAGAGACTGAACTCACCGTCCAGCTTGTGCAAGTGCGTTGACCTGCTACAACATCTTCTAGCCCTTTCTTAGATTTTCTGACATTTATTACTATGTAGCCCAGGCTGACCTTGAGCCTGCATTATCCCAGTTTCGCAGAGCAGACTGCAGGAACTACAACTGAACACCACACCTTCACACCCGGGTTTTTATGTCTTCATTCCGCCCTTTTATAGACCAAGCTCAGCCTCTAATTATGCACCTGGTGGCTTTTGTCCTTAGTGCATCTTAATGACCTTTCCTATTGGTTCAAGTACTCGTCCCACCCCTCCCCGTCCCTTCTTTCCTCCTCTTTTGGCTTTTATATTGATTTACTGACTCAGTTTCCTATTGACAGATATTTGAGTCCTTATTAATATTTGTCTTGGTAATGACAGTAATCACATCCAGCACTGGGTCCTCTGCCTGATCTGTAGGGACTTACACACTGTGATGGTGACAGCAGTGTGTGTCAGGGCAGATCGTCACAGTGGAGTTACCTAGTGTGCGTTCTGGAAGACTGTCCCCTGCCAGCCACAGAGCAGCAACAGTGCAGTGCATTGCCACACTTTAGGCACCTATCTGGTGCATGTGGGGTAATCTGCATGCCGCGTGGCATCTCTCCCTGAGCTGTCCTCTGTGATGGTCCCAGCTGGGGACGCTCAGAAATGACGCCACAACTGGTGCTGACAAGGAGAAAGAAGCCTCTTAATAACTCACCCTGTGCCTCCTTCATGCAGAGACCGGGGAGAAGGGAGCCCAGCTGTCAGGTGGTCAGAAGCAGCGGGTGGCCATGGCGAGGGCCCTAGTGAGGAACCCACCTGTGCTCATCCTGGACGAAGCCACTAGTGCTTTGGATGCAGAGAGTGAATACCTGGTAAGTCCAGGTAGTGGGGCTGCTGGAGGGAGGTAGTGGCAGCTGGCCAGGCTCCCTGAGAGCTGGCTATAGGTCACGAAAGAGAAGCAAGGAGCTCTGGGCATGGACACTTTGGGGCCTGGGCCCCCAGCCCTAAGCAGAGCTACAACCAAGTGACATGGAAATGTCAGGCCAGAGGATCTGATTGGAAACACCACCCTGTGTGTGTGTGTGTGTGTGTGTGTGCGCGCGTGTGTGTGCGTGTGCCCCAAGGCCTTGCACTAGTGCCCACCCCCCTGCAACTTACAGCATGGTCCTAAGCTGCTCTTCCTTCTAAGCCAGTGTTCAGTGATAAAACATAGCTGTCACCCCAGGGGATAACACACAGTATATTTTGGAGCCAAATAAGAGTGACTGTGGCCCAGGAACACAGACTCCATGATCCAATGATCCAATACGGAAGCAGGTTCCAGTTTCAAGAAGGTTTTCATAATAACAAATTCACAAATGAAGACGCTTTTCACATGCATTGGTGGACGTGTCAGAGGCTGCTCCGGGATGCTCGGAAGCTCTATCATGAGCCTCACTTTCTATCGGATGACACACTGAGCTTCTGTGTTGGTAGAAACCAGGGTCTGCTAAGTTAATCCCTTCCAAAAGGGTTTTTATCTCTCAGTCACAGCTTGTTAAGTCTGACACAAAGGTGGGCAAAGAATGACCCTGGGGTTTAAAACTAGCTTGCGATACCACTGCAGTTCTAATAAGGCACACTTATTTCCAGAAATTCTCATTCACAGTTCCTTGTTGGCTAAGCATGACATTTTGTAATGTTCCTCACAGCTAGGAGGTCATTCCCAGGACCTGACGTAGATGAGGCAAGGTAATAGTCAGGACAGTCTTAGGAGAGGGGACTAGCTGGCGAGGCCATAGAGGAGGACAGTCCTCTACCAGTGAGCCTACTGCGTCTGACAGCATTTACATGTGACATGTAGTAAGTTCATTATATTAAAATAAGCAAGGATGCCAACAATGAAGGAAACACTTTTTTAATTATTTATTTGTTATGTACACAGTGTTCTGTCTGTATGTATGCCTGCATCCAGAAAAGGGCAGCAGATCTCATTACAGATGGTTGTGAGCCACCATGTGGTTGCTGGGAATTGAACTCAGGACCTGTAGAAGAACAGTCAGTGTTCTTAACCTCTGAGCCACCTCTCCAGCCCCTGAAGGAAACATTTTAGATAATCAAAATTTATCTATTGTTTAAAAAACCAGAGCAGTCATGTCCCTGTGTTCATCGCTATTGGCATTCTGAGCTGTCATCTTAGATCTCTGGGCTTTTCTTTGGCCAGCTTGCTGGTGTAGCTGTACCCTCTGGTGGAGCACTGACTAGTGAAGATGGTCAGCGTCCACACTCCAGCTCTGGCCTGTGGACGCTGACCTGGCCTGCTGCGTTGTGCTGCCATTATAGCACGTTTAGTTTCAAAATGTGAACGGAAGATCACATCATGAAGAAATTGGCTAACGACAGTGCAGGTCCCCTGATCTCAGCATGTGCTAACTGACAGTGACAGAAGCAGGAGGGAGGCCTGTCAGGACCCGGGGAGTCACACTCTTCCCAGACACAGCAGACTTTTAGTAGCAGAAATGAACGTGGGACTCTGGGGGAGTCACTGTAGTATTGTCCATTTCCTTTGCATTAGCACAATACAAGTATTGTTTAAATTAGGCCCAGCTAACTGTACTGTGGGGCAGTTTAGACACTGATTTAATCACGAAACCTCAGCACTTATGGGGTGAACTTGGTGAAAGCTGCCGCTGCTGTTAGTAACTGGTGTGTGTGTTCTCAAATGTGCGCAGGTGTTACCGAGCTAACCCACATCTTTGGGTGTCTCTAACCAGAGTATATGGGGTTCAAGGTACTCTGTAAACATCTGAGCATATGATAGGCCTTTTATAATGTTTAGATCACTGTTTCTATCGACATAAATTGATTGGACTTTGAAACATGTAGCCCTGGCTGGCCTAAACTTCTGGAGCTCTACCAGGTCACCATTCCCCCACACCCCACTCCCTACACAGCCACATTTTTTTCTTAATATGAAAATGTTCGTTTATTTTGGCTGTGAGAATTCTAATCTAAAATATCTATATTCTCCACATTGGAAGGCCTTTCTAAAAAGGAAATTTAAATTGTTCTATCGATTTAAAAACAAGGTGTTTAAAGCCAAATTATACTGTATGCTGAGAAAAATATTCGTCACAAAGACAGTGAAAACATTTGAATCTTTTAGACAAAACTAATTTTAAGTAAAGCAGGGAGGGGGTAAACAGTCAGTCATAAAAAAACATGACTAACAAAAGAAAACCCCCTCATTTGTGACTTCATTAAAACAAAGATTAGTACTTTATCACTTAGGAGTAAACCAAGTGAAATATTAAGTGTCATGAATAATTCTAGTTATAGGGGCTGGGGTTCAGCTCAGTGTAGAGCGCATGCCTAGCAAGCACAAGGCCCTGGGTTCCGTCCTCAGCTCTGGAAAACAATGTCTAGTTATAGCTGAGGGTGGGGCACACCTTTAATCCCAGCACTCGGGAGGCAGAGGCAGGCGGATCTCCGTGAGTTCAAGGCCAGCCAGGGTGATTACACAAAGAAACCCTGTATTTAAAAACTAAAATGGCTAATTATAAGAGGATTTAAGAAACATACACATGGAGAAATGTTGAGTTACCTAGGGCACTGGCAGTCACCAGAGTTGGAGATGAGATATCGGCATTGTGAGAGAGGTCACCTCGGGTCCTGTAGTAGCGTGAGGCTCAGGCTAGTCCTCCTCCTCCGGGAGAGCAGACTCCTTTCAGTTGCCGGGTCATCTGCGTGGTGTTTTCTTTAGCAGAGACAGTACATAGGTTTCTATGAGGCATTAGTGGATGTGTCCCAAAGGGCAAGTCTTAGAACAGAGCCAGCTCCAGTTAATTTTGACAATTAGTTGTTTACCTAATAGGTCACATTTTTAAACAGACTTAAATATTTGTCCACTTGGATGAGTTCCTACTCGTTATGTAATTGAGTAGGAATGATTCTCATCTGAATTTCTCCTGTAAACACAGGCTTTTCCAGTGGAAAACGCAAAAGACAAAGCCCGTGAGTATATTAAGTGTCACACTAGTCAAAGAGAAATACAAAGTTCTTGTTTTCCAAGCCTTCCCCTTTCTTTGTAAAGGAAGCCTTGCTTGGGGCTGAAGAGATGGCTCAGCAGAGATGACTCAGTGGTTAAAACCACTGGCCACTCTTCCAGAGGACTGGGATTGGTTCCCAGGACCCCCACATGGCGGCTTCACCACCATCTGCAACTCCAGTTCCAGGAGAATCAGATCAGTCGCCGCCCTCTGGTCACCTTGGGCAATGTGTACACTGTGAACAGACACACACTCAGGCAAAATACTCAGACTTTGTATTTGGTTCTAAGATAGTTCTCTCTATGTAGCCCTGGTTGTCGTGGAGGTCATGATGTAGCCCAGGCTGGCCTCCAACTCAGAAGTCCTCCTGTCTCTAAGTGCTGGGATCATAGGTTTGTACCACCACACCAGCTCATATCCTTTTTTAAAAATGTCAACTTCATAAACAGAATGAAGCAATTTTTTTCACATTAAAATTGTAACATTTATATTACAATCAACTTAGTTATAACTGTAGCTAATTTTCAGTCTGTAACATACATTAATCTTTAATCATTATTTTATCTAATCTTTACCTTATAAAAGTACTTTTGCCTCCAAAATCATTTTTCTTTACCCTCCCTTTCACCAGAAAAATGCATCTCATACCTATACTGTTATCACTAAACTTGATAGTTTGATAGTTTTGTTTTCACTGTTATTATTTCTGAAACAAAATTGTTGAGCACCAAGTCTCACTATATAGACCAGACTGGCCTTCCACTGAGAGATCTGACTGCCTCTGCCGCTTGAGTGCTGGAATTAAAGGTGTGTGCAACTATGCCTGACTAGAAAACTCTTTTAATGAGACTATTTTAAATGAAAACCTGGGGAGCTATATATAAAACACAGAAAAAATATGTAGGGTATCTAATAGCTATTAATAGTCTGATTTCCCCTTATACGATGTTAAATATTTTGTGTTTAAAAATAAAAACATGAATAACTGTTCCAAATGTATTAGTAGGCTACAACACACTAAGAATATCCACTATAGGGCTGGAGAGATGGCTCGGTGGTTAAGAGCCCTGACTGCTCTTCCAGAGGACTGGGTTCAATTCCCAGCAACCACATGGCAGTCACACCTCTCTGTAACTCCAGTTCTAGGGGACCTGACAGCTTCACACAGACATACATGCAGGGAAAATACCAATGCACATAAAATAAAACTAAATAATTAAAAAAAAAGAATATCCACTATAAACTTCTAGATGTCTTTGTAAACCTTACAGTATTTTTTGTTACCTTTCCCCCTTCAGATGTTTACAGTTGTCAAGATATGGACCTTGAGAACCCTGTTGACTTGTTTTAAAGAGGCAGGTGTGGTCCAGAATGTCCATAGAATGCTGTACTATCTAAAACACAGATGAACCATCCTTTTCTGTCTTAGCCCTGAGAGACACTGCACTTAGCAGGATAAGCATTTCTGAAAATGAGTTTATGCCAGAACCAAGACAGGGCCAAGGAGATGACCAGAACTGTATAATCATGCAGCTGTTGTTTTTAAATTTAATTTAAAAGTCATGTTCATTGTCCCAAAGAAAACTCTAGGGCCACCAGTCACCCCCATTTGTTTTTCCTAAGTGCTACATTGATTAAATATCTCTTTGTCCTTTGTCATTTAATTAGCATACTAAATATGTAGCCAAGTTTTCTTAGCCTATTGGAGTTGGGATGTTTTTTCCCTTAAAATTTTAGTATTACATGAACTGAAAGGAAGCTGGGGTATAGAGAGATGGAAGCCTGGATGCTCTTCCAGAGGACCCAGGTTCGGTTCCCAGCATCCATATGGAGGCTCACAACCACCTGTAACTCCAGTTCCAGGGGACTCAGCACCCTCTTCTGGTCTCTGAGGGGTACCAGGTACACACTTGGTGCACATACATACATGTAGCCAAAACATTCATGCACATAATTTATTTTTTGGTTTTTATGAGACAGGGGTTCTCTGTATTGTTTTGGAGGCTATCGGTCCAGCCGGGCCTCAAACTCACAGAGATCCGCCTGCCTCTGCCTCCCGAGTGCTGGGATTAAAGGCGTGGGCCACCACCACCCAGCTCATGCACATAATTTTTTAATTTAAAAAATGAACTAGTCCACTTTAACATCTTCAATTCCCATGAGAACTTAATATGTCTATCGGGTCTTTTACCGTATCACCAGAATACCCACGTTTAGGAATCTGTACATGAGTATCTGCACATGCATAATTTAAGTACACATGCCAAAAATAAATTAACACACAATAAAAACTTTGTTTTACATGAACACATGAAAACAATTCTACATACACACATATACAGAAGACACAGTTACATGAAAATTACACAATTACATAAAGTGGGTGCACCCACTCTAAAGGTAGGGATGGCTCAGCGGTTAAGAGTGTTGTTCAGGGGCAGGAGAGATGGCTCAGCAGTAAGAGCACTGGCTGCTCTTCCTGAGGACCTGGGTTCAATTCCCAGCACCCACATGACAGCTCACACCTGTCTGTAACTCCAAGATCTGACACCCTCACACAGACATACATGCATGCAAAATACCAATGCAAATGAAATTTTTGAAAAAGTGTGTTGCTCTTACAGAGGGTCAGAGCTCAGTTCCCAACTGGGTTCAGGGTTCATGACCACCAGTAACTCCTGCTCCGGGGGATTGGATGCCCTCTTCTGAACTCCATATTCATGACTTTTTAAAAAACTTAAAAAGTGGGTTGTGATGGGGCATGCCTTTAACCCCAGGAGGCAGGCAGATCTCTGAGTTTAAGGTCAGCCTGATCAACAGCCACAGCTACACAGGGAAACCCTATCAAGTATTAGGCATGAGAACAACTAGGTGGGGGTGAAGATCATCAGGTGAGGTTGATGTTGACCACGGAAGCCTTTAGTAACATGACTTCCTCTCAAGAGCTTAAATCACTGAGGGGGAGGAGATGCCTCACTGATAAAAGTGCGGATCTAAGAGAAAAATGGAAAGTAGTTGGGGATCAGGCATCATCTGGCCCAGCGGCAGTCTGGAATCCCGTCCCTGCCTGAGGCGAGCTGGGCAATGCAGGTGACCACGCTGCCGGTTACCTGGTGCTTCTCCTCAGGCATCCCTAGAGGCCCTTGGATCAGGAATACTTCTGTGCAGTGTAAGTCTTAACACACAACAGCTGCGTTTGTGTCTGTTTCTCTTTTGCACACCAGTGGACTTAGGGAATACTAAGTGGGTCTCCACCCAGAAAAGCAGCAAAAGGGGGTCCAAGGTAAGGAAGGGCAAGCCATGCTCAGCAGGGCGGAGCCATAGACAGGGACTCTCACCAGCTCTTCAAGGTGGAGCTTCAGCGGCCTGTCTGTGGCTTCAACACTGAAAGGAACCTGAGGACGCACTGGTAGGATAATTTTTGTTTTTCAAGACAGGGTTTTCTCTGTGTAACAGTCCTGGCTATCCTAAAACTCACTCTGTAGACCAGGCTGGCCTTGAACTCACAGAGATCTTCCTGCCTCTGCCTCCAGAGTGCTGGGATTGGAGGTGTTTGCCACCACCACTGAGTGAAGAAAGATATTTTAACATAGGTTTAAACACAGAAGTTGGAGCCTGGCAGGGGTGGCACACTCCTTTAATCCAGCACTTGGGAGGTAAAGGCAGGTGGATCTCCGTGAGTTCAAAGCCAGCCTGGTCTACAGAGCGGGTGCCAGGACAGGCTCCAAAGCTACACAGAGAAACCCTGTCTCTAAAAAACAAAAACAATGACAACAACAAAAAAACCAAAACCCAAAAAACAAAAGCAAACCTAGTATCTAGACCAAATGCTCCATAGTAAATAATACGAACACCATCATTCAAACACTCTAGAAACAAAGTCCAATCAGAAAGGCGTCTACCACAGGAGCTTGCATAGCCAGCCCAGACACACAAATGCCATGGGCCCAAGCAAGGGAGGCCTGAGAGCACCCCACGAGGACCCCCACCATACACTTGAAGAGAAAGCATGCCGGATGGGCCCCTAGGGTACCTTGTTTCCAACCAGGTTACTCCTCCGGTAGAAAGGGAATGGTTCTTGGATCCCACACTGGGTACCATAAACACGGCTCTCATTTCACAGGGAGTCAGTTTATCCTGGAGCCAATCAATATGAGGGACCACAGCCTGGGCACACAGATTATTCCAAATTCCATATTCCCACATGGAAGCCGTTTCATGAAGTTTTTATAGTAATAGGACAAAGAAAGTCATAAATCAAAACCTTTTCAAATACATTGGTGGAAACACCAGAGACAGGTTATAGCCAAGAGAACTCTTAGCTTCTCTGTTAGTCACAGGATGTTAGATCTGACACAGTGGGCAGCAAATAATAATAGTTTAGGGGGCTAAAGCTAGCCCAAAACACACTGTAATCAGGCTTTGGACCAGCAACATTCTAACCCTCCACATTGTGGCAGCTCTAATCAGACAGCCTTTGCTGTGAGGACCAAGTTGTAAGTCACCTTTTAGCTAAGACCTGAAAGCAAAGGAACCAGCTCTGGGAATCTGGGGGTCAAGGGCAGCAGGGAGGCATTCAAAGCCCCGGGTCAGAGGGAGTGGTGTGAGAAGGCAGGAGGAGGTGACGAGGCAGTATTCTCTATGAAGCTCCGCAACCAATGCACACAGATCATCCTGTGACCGCCACACATGTTTGCATGTGAAGTGT